TTATAATGTGTGTGCCTCATACAATTCCTCATTTAACAAACAATTCATCTAACAACCCAGACACAGGAATTGAATTCAGCAGTTAAACAAGGAATATTGCTTTCTACCTGCCATCCATGAACTATTTCTCCTCTGCCCCAGGCCACCCTTCCTTGCAGCCAGCTAACTATAAGCTGAAGCTTCTATAAAGTGTGAGCCAAAATAAACCTCTCCCCACTTTAACTTGTGGATATTAAGTATATTATCTGAGTAACAAGACAGTAACTAATGCAGATTTTGGTACCAAGAGTGGGGTTGTTGCTGAGACACTACCTGATCAAGTGTTTCAGAAATTTTTGAAACTGCCTTGTGGGAGGGGTTTGGAAAGGTTTGGAGATGCCAGCTGGAGAAGCAACTCTAAAATTGTATGAACAAAGCTTGATGGGAGATTCTGGTCAGAGCTCACACAAACGCAGCCAGTGAAGACCAGACTGAAGAGGTTTCAGTTTGGAAAGATTCAAGCAGTTGGACTCCAGGTCATGTTGTTATGCTCTGGCAGAAATTTGTCTGCATTTTGCTCCTGTCCAGAGACTTTGCAGGAGACTGAAATTAAGGATGGCAGACTACTCTGGCAGAAGAAATTTCAAGGCAGTCTAATGTCAAGGTGGTGGCATAGCTACTGTTAGGGACTTTTTTGCCAGCTCTTATGCTAAGAATCAAGAGCAAACAACACAGCAGAATGATTTAAATTTTTTTTAGTTTGACCAGATATCTGCAAAGATAGAACAGAAGATAATTTGGTTGCTGAAAAGATTAGCATTAAAAAATCAACTACTTTGGAACAGGACAATACAAAAGATGACCTGAGACATTACTGGAAACAGCAGAACTCTACCCTTTTCAGCCCCAAAATTGCAAAGGTGAAAGATTTTGCTTTGAGACAAAAACACCAAGGCACCAGGTTCTAGCATGGCAGCAGCCTGGGGAAGTTGTTCTTCAGGACTGGGTTCATAGCACTCAGCAACTGGGCTCTTGACTGTTGGGGACCATCTATTGAAAATTGAGTCTAGAAGACATCCAAGGCTGTCTTTGTGTTGCCCTTTGAGCCAGACTGGAACAAGGAAACTCCCTGTTCTTTTCGGTTACATCTGAAAGCCCTAGGGTGAGTGACTTCTGTGGCACTCACAGGGCAAGATAAGACCAGCTGAGGATGGTAAGTCACCTGGAGAAACTACAGGGCCCTTACTGCCGCCTGTCTCGTCCTTAACATAATACTCTGTTCTTCCTCCTAGCCCACCATTCTCACCATCGCTGTTCCCAGAAACCCTCACTGCCCTTCACCTGTTTGTCCTTGATATAGATGCAATCAATAAATACCAAGGTTCTGGCTGCCTCATGGCTTTTTGTTCCCACAAACAACTGGTCATCCCAGATCCCTGCTGCACTGCTGTTTTGTCTCTTGCTATGTTCTGTAACAGCAGGCAAGAGATTGGAACCCATGGCAGGAGCAAATGATACTTGACCCCTACACCCAAAAGAGAAGGAAGCCTGGCTACTGCCCCAGCTGGTGGCAGACCTTGTCATCGACATGGTGTGGTTTTAGGTTCATGCAGAATGCAAGAGTTGTGGGGCCAGGAATGCTTTCACTCAGACTTCAGAAGAAGGCTGGAGAGGCCAGGCAGTGTGTGTGCCCCTGACAGGGCAGTGGGTGAAGCTGTTGGTGTGAAGTTAAAGGTGCAGTGGAGACCTCAGAAGGTTGGAGAATCCAGGAACATGGATTGTCTGAAGAAAGCCACAAGCAGTGAGCAAAGCTGACCCAAGAGAGCAGGCATGAAGGTTACCAACACAGGCCGTGCCATAAGGATGGAGCCACCCAGACCTTGTGGAGTTCCCATCTTGTCACAGACTGTGTCAGGTACTGAACGTGGAACTATGGATTTAATGTTTGCCTGGCTGGACTTTGGTCTTGTTTTGGTCTTATTCCTTTCTATCTTTATAGAAGATTTCTACTTTTTGGAATGGGATTGTTTATCTTGTGCCATTGTATGTTGGAAGTGCTTTAATTTTCTTTTCACATTTTAACAGGAGCTCACAGCTAAGGGCATGCCATTAAGTCTCAAAGAAGACTTTGAACTAGACTTTTCAGCAATGCTGAAACTGTTAGGACTTTGGCAATTCTTAGAGATGGACTAAATGCCTTTTGCATAAAGGAATGCACATGAGTCTTTTAGGGGCCAAAGGTGGAAGGCTACGGTTTATATCTAAAATGTGCTCCAAAGCCTCATGTGCTCATAGACGGAGCTTTTGGGGGCAATGGCTAAAGCATGGATGGGATACTCACTACTGGTTCAGTTCCTGATGGGTTTAGCACTGGGTGTGATGTAAGTGAACCACGGTGGGAAAAGGTGGATCACTGTGTGTATGGCCTGTATATACACATATCTTTCGTTCGTCCTGATGCCTCTCTGTCTTCCATATTATGGACTGTTTCTCTTCCGCCATGCTGACCTTCCTTGGAAGCAGCCAATTATGGGTTGAAACCTCTACAAACAGAACCAAAATAACTCTTTCCTTCTTTAAGTTGTAGGTGTTGGATATTTTGTCCCAACACAGAGAAAGTAACCAAGACACGGACTATACTTGTCACTTAATTTAAATAAACCAAGAGTACAAAATACATGGTGAGATAATCAAGGAAATTTGAGCACTATTTCATTGTATTAAATCACTATTTTTATATGTGTTCATGGTATTATGACTACATTTCAAAAAGATGGATCTTATCTTTTAGAAATGCTATTATGCTAGAATATAGTTCCTGTTCAAGGTCCTGGGTTCAATCCCCACTAACACGCACACGCATGCACACACAAAAAGCAAAGAAAGCAGTACCACTGACTTATTTATAGATGAAAGAATACGATCACTGGAATGTTTTAAAGTAATCTAGCTAAGGAGGAGGGTGGAAATGGGGGGCTGGCAGATGGGAAGAAATTGGCTATGTGTGAATATCTATTAATGCTGAGTGACTGGTACAAAGGTTTATTATACTAGTCAGATGGATGTATGCATGTACAAGAAGCCACAATAAAATTGCTTTAATTATGATTAAATTTAGTTTAATTAATTTAACCCCCCCCCATACACACACTTGTATTTTAATTTTAACAACAATATGATGAGGTTCTGACATGAACGAATGGGCTTCTGTGGTGTGTGGGGGGTGGAGGTTTAAAAGAAGAAAAGGAAAGAAGGGAGGGAGGGACGGAGGGAGGAAAGAAGGAAAAGGAATAGAGAAAAGTTGAGCCAATGGAAGGGAAGGGAAGTGATTTCTGATCAGAGAGCCAAGTCCCTGGAGAATCAAGTCCCAAAGTCAGAGCTCATGCAGGTTCCAACTTGTCCCTTGCTTCCCTGGTGGCCAAGTTGAAGAGCGGAGCTGCGACGTGTGAGCCTGGACTACCGCCCTGTCTTGGGTTCTGTCCTGACCCCATCGCGTGGCATTTACTGTTGACGCTTTAAACCTGCTCTGAGTAAGGTGGACCATAGTGTATGGACAGCAAGAGGCTGTAAAAAAAGAATTCCAAGGTTCTTTTTTTAAAAAAAAATGATTCCCAGGTGTTTTATTTCTTGGATAAAGTTATTGAGGATAAAAATAACGATGTTAGGTTAATGGGAAAGCAAATGTACTCTGTTTCCAGCATTCTATAAAAATGAGTGGCAAGAACTTTAAATTATTTTGCACGACATCACATTTTCCATGTCATCACATTTTCCATGTAACTTTTTCTGAGACAAGTTTTCACTGTGCAGTCCAGGCTGGCCTTGATCACCACGCAGACCAGGCTGGCCTTGAACTCATGGCAATCCTCCTCCCTCAGCCTCCTAAGTGCTGGGATTGCAGGTGCATGCCACCATGCCTGGCTTCTGTGCCACTTTTTAATAGACGTTTTTGCCTCACACAAAGAGCACATACATGGTGTACCCCAATCACCTGACTCCAACAGTTATCTGTAGCACCTTGTTTCTTGTATGCCTGCCCCACCCAGTGTTACATGATTTTAAAACAAATTCCAAACATCACTGATGTTTCACCCATAGAATTTCTGTATGATCACTTCTTTTGACTTCAGATTGTTGGGACTGAGAGACAGGTTTCTGATAGATCTGTCTGTACGATGAAGGGTCTGCCCAGAGACAACCAGAGTCAGGGCTGAAGGGACAGGAGAAGATGCGACAGTCTTAGGGGATGGAGGCTGTGAAGGAAGGAGGCAGCAGGTGCCCAGGATGCAGAGGGGCAGACTGGAGGCCCAAGGCCTGCAGCCGAAAGGTGAGGATCCCCTAGTGACGAAGCAGGCAAACACCAGTGCTGGAGTAGAGCGGCCAGGGTTCGGTCCCAAACCCATGACTGTCACCTGGACTCTCGGCTTCCTTAAGAAGGTGCACAGAGCATTTAGCTTTCCCCTCTGCGGATGCCTGAGGTGATGTCCCAGATACGCAGCCGGGCAAACAGCCACTGGATTTTTCCGTTTCCTGATTATTTTAATGAGATAAGACGATGGTGAAAGGGACCATTGCTTCTCCCCTGCCTCCTTTTGTAACTCTCTCCATCTCCGACTGGAAGGTCCACCTCTGCTCTGTCTTCCTCTCGCCAGGCCGTGAAGCTATTAAATGCCCGTGCCCCCAGGCAAAAGTAAACTGGCTGTGAGTGACAGCCCAGAGGCTCACATCTGAGTCAAGTGCATGGATTTCACAATGTCTATTTTGTGTCTCAGAGCTTCTTCCGTGGCTCACATTTTAGTTGGTAGCTGGGTCCCAGGCAGCTGAATCTGCTGAGTGGGCACCTATTGCTTCTGTGTTGCTTTCTTCGAAAGAAAAGCTAAATCAGATCTCGGCATTTCCCACCGATACTAAGGCAAGGCATGGGAGCTGGATGACAGGGAGCCTTGGAATACAGACACATGATGGCTAAACGTTCCCCCAGATCCCTGGGCACTGGCAGGAGAAAATGGGACTAGAAATGGTAGCTTTTAGAAGTATGTTTTATTCCAAAGAAATATGTCCAGCAACTTCACTTTAAAGAAGAAAACATTTTCTGTGAAATAGCTGTCCATACCTTCACACACAATAAGTTAATACAAAAAATAGTTTAAAAGCAATCAAAACAAAAGAATGAGAGCCTTACGTGCTTTCAAAACCAAACAATAGGAGATCAGTAATGGCTGCCATAATGTCTCTTGTTTTCTTCAAAATAGCTATCCATACCTTCATACATACTGAAATCAAATAATTGAAAGCGGACTAAAACCAATCAAAACCAAAAATAGAAGCATTATTAGACTTCAAAACAAGATGATAGGAAATCAGCAGTGGCTACCATTAGGACACATTTTCTTCAATGTAGCTTTTCATACCATCATACATAATAAAATCAATTCTTGTAAACTAGGTGAAGTTCTAGGCATATAGAAGCCTACACACGTACATCTCTTATTTGTAAGAAAACAAAAGACATTATGGTAGCCACTGTTGATTTCCTGTTGTCTTGTTCCGAAGTGCTGTGTTATTTGCATTGTTTTGTTCTGATGTACTTTGTTCTGTTTTGTTTTATTCTCTTTAAAATAAAAAAGAAAGAAAGAAGAAAACATTCAACTACCTCAAGATCAGTAACTAGGAGCAAAAGGATGCTCCTCTGACGATGTGGCTGAAAGATGCATTCCCCAAATGTGGTATGGAAACATCAGCCCAGCACAGAGAGAAAGGAGCCAGCCGAGGGCTTCCGCTCCCCCGTCTCCTCCTCCACAGGCCACCGGCACGCGGGGCCAGGACGGTGGGAAAAGTCTCTGAGCTGCAAGGCAAATGCAGCATCGCAGTGCCCCTCGGCCCTCACTCTGTGTGCAGTGAAATCATCCGGAAACTTTCAAGCTCAGCTTTCCTCGCTGTTATATAATTTATATGAATCAAACACACAAGTAAATATACAACATTTAAGATCCTCTTTTGAAAATGAGTTTTGGCAAGTGTTTATGCTTTGGAACCCACGCCACTCTCAGGAAACAGGATGCGTCCATCATTCCAGAAAGTTCTTTCCTGGGTGTCCTAATCACTCCCAGATGCGCTTACCCTAGAGGTAACTGTGCTGAGGTCTTTCTCCATGTTTTATTTGCCTGTTCTAGGATTTTATATGAATGCTGCCTCACACAGTGGGCACTGTTTTGTGTGTGATCTCAGCTTCACGTTCTCAGGATTCCTTCAAGCTGTTGTTTGAACAAACGGCTCACTCCTTTCTGCCATGGAGGGCACTGTATTGTACTGTGTGATTTATCCTGTCATTTACGTACCCTTTGTCTTTTTAAGGGACATCAGTACTGTCTCCAGTTGGGAGCTGTTAGTAACAAAGCTGTTAAGCATGTTAGTTAGTGTATATCTATTTTTATTTCTCTTGGGTAAAAACCTAGAAGTAGGATTTTTTGTTCACTGATACGTTTTATTTTGGTCACTGTTTTATTTTATGTGAAACAGCTAGACCAATTTCCAAACTGGTTGCACCATTTTATGTTCTCTTTAGAAAGGAATAGGAAGCCTTACCAACACTGGTCTGTTCATTTTTAAATTTCAGCCATTTTAGCAGGTATCTCAATTTGGTTTTAATCTTACTAGGGCTCTTTTTCATGTGTTGATTGGTCATTTATCTATGTTCCTTTGTGAAGTATTTTGTTTTACTCCTGAGTTATAAGAATTGCCAGGATATGCTGGTCATAAATTCTTTGATATATTTGTGGCAAATAGTTCTCTCAAGTCTGTGAGTGATTTATTTCTTCTTTTTCTTACCGGTAACTTTTAAGGAGCAGAAATGCTTAGCTTGGCTGGCTGTGTGACTCTGAGCTTGTCTTAGCCTGCATGAGGCCCTGGGTTCATTCCCTAGGTTTAGTTTTTTAAATTAGTTTTTAATTTTAATGACGTATTTAGCACTTTTTGGTCAACCCAGTTATCCTAATGCACAGCCAGGGTTGAGAGACCCTGCATGAAAAGGAAGGAAGAGTTGTGAAATAGAGGAAACTGGACAATGGGAGTCTGACAATACAGTAAGACAGAATCCAAATGCACACAAGGAAAGTACTTCAAAGTTCCATGTCCATGTGGGGACATTTCAATGCTTGTAAGAGAGGAGCACGTAAGGACAGGACGCCATGAAGCTGGTATAGGTGACCCCAGCTGGGCAATGTGCACATTCCACAACAGAGGCACGAAACAGTGACTACACGTTTACCTATCCTTGCCGCCCAGAAGCAGCGTCTCCAACACCCGGAAAGCAGAACGCACAGGGTTGGGAGGCAACAGAGGCAGATGGATGGAGAGATGGCCGGGAACCTCGGAGGCACCCACCCTACGTGAGTCAGGGTCTCCAGGGCCCCGTGAATTATAACGCAGTAATCAGAAAGACCTTGCAGAGGGAAGTGAAGAATCACACTGTAGTCTGGAAAAATGATGCGGTGAGGGACTGTCCTAAAAAACCCAAGATGACAAAGTGTTCTACGTTTCTAACACGGGCGCCTGCCTCAGCACCCTGAATCCACCCTACCCAGAAAAAGTAATGCTGCAGGTGTGACTGTGTCCAGCACGGAGCCTGTGACCACTGCCCCTGCCCAGCCCTGCTCCATGAAACTGTTAGCTTCCCCTGCATCAGCCACAGCGAGATGACAGCGGCCGGGTGATGACAGAGTGGCAGAAAGAAACGGGCAATTTTTATGACTATTAGAGACAGAAACACTGGAGGTAGAAATGGTATATAAACTAGTTGTGGGGAAACTGTTATGGGGAGCAGGAGGGCTCTCAGACACCAGGCTTCTGCTGGGTCGCGGGTAGCCAGTGCCACTTGCAGGACAAATGACTGAAGCGCAGCGTAAGTTAAGGACAGAGAATTTGGCATCTGACAGTGTTGGCCGTGGGAACTGAACAGGGCCGGTCCCTGCGCTGGGCTGTGGTCCTCTCACCTCAACTCTGGGGTAATGACTCCATGAGGTTCCTGCATGAGTTGATGTAATAGATGTCACCAAAGCACCAGGCCCAGGCCAAGGTTGCTGTGGGAAGGACACATTTCTTCTGTGTTGCTCTAAGACATAATTGAGACCAATAGGCAGAAACTTCTGTGGTAGAGACATCGTAATTCACCATGTGGAAGGATGTCTTCTCTTAGGCCTCTTGTGGGGAGTAGTGAGCCCCCCGTGGGGGGAGGCATCCCAGCAGAGGACACAACCACCTACCAGAGAGGACAGTCAAGGAAGTCCTACCTGGGGAGCCCAGGAGCTGGGAGCTGGACGCTTAGTGGTTCTGAAACCAGACTGCTCATGACACAGGAAAGCTTCACAAACTGCAGATTTCATGGCCACACACAGGCCCAAGGAATCAGGATGGGCGTGGGGATGGGAATATGTATTTTAGGAAAGATCCCCAAAGGACTCCGCTGAGAGGCCCAGTGGGGAAGTCACTGGGATATGAGCTCTCTTTTTCCTTGGATTTAACAGTCTATGCTAAGCTGAATTCTGAAAAGGAAGCTGGTGTCAGTGAGGGCTAGACTGTCTTCATTGGAAACAGGGAAGGGGGAAGGGTGCGAGCAGGTGGGGCCTCCACGCCTCTGTGGGGTACAGAGACTCCTCCTGTGAGCAGCGATGTGAACCCTCGGACCGCACTGTGCTCTGACAGAGCAACCCTTGACTGTGCCAATTTCCTGCAAACAACCAGAACCTTTTTTTGCTTGAGAACACAAGTCACAAACAATCCGTTCCCAGCCGAAGCATATGACCTATTCTATTTTTCCATAAGCTTGGTCTTAAGTCAAGGAGACACAGGCAGATGTCAAGATGTCACGGCCGGGGAAGGGAATGGAGGACAAAGGCAGCCTTTGCTACCTTTTAATTGGAAGAAGATGTTATTTCAGGCAATGAGACACTTTTAAAATGTCATCAAGTGTTTGTTGCTAATAAGAAGGTGAACAGGCAGGAAGCAGACTTACAATGAGCCATCTTTAAAAAATTAGTAAGGAGGAGCTCCTGGGAACGGCACCCTTAGTAAAGTACTGGTTACGATGACAAGCTCTGGCCTAGTCCTCCCTGAGGGAGCACTACTAGGTACCCTCTGAGAGTGAATCCTTCCCAGAGCAGCGTTTCCCAAACTTATGGAGAAGAGAACACACAAGGAAGCTGAGCATGCAAACCACATGGGTGTAGCCGATAAGCAGGTCTCACACATTATTTTCCACTGCTGCTTGGGAAACTGTTGTCGATGCTACTGAAATGAATGAGATGCAGTTATCTGAAGCACTGTGGAATCCACAGCATCTTTTCATCCCCACAAACTGCCTGTCTATGGGTACCAAAGTCCACATTCTCTCGCCTGAGCATTGGCAAAGCTCTTCCCACTGGAAAGGGTGAGAGCAGAGCCAGACAGCTTAGGAAAGGTTTATTTGCACTTATTTTCCTCCCATGCACTCTACAAATGGCTTTCCCTGCGTTCCTGTCGAGCCAACTCTCAGGAGCAGACAGGAAGCGAGACGGGAGTGCAGGGAGAGGCTGGAGAAGAGCGACAAGTTTGCTGCCATCCCCTCCCCCAAGGGAAGACCCCACCACCCTTGTGTACCACACACAGAGCTCTCGGAGGCTGCCAACATCAGTGAAATAAAGTTTAGTTTACTTAGAAAACAAACCAAAGAGGGAAAAAAATCCCTTTGCTATCTGAAAAAACTGAAGAATTATGGGGCGAAGGGACTGCCTGATTTATTCATTGCTTCGAAAGGTGATTATTGATTTCCTACGATGTGCCCTCTAGCAGTTTGCAAAACAGCAAGGACACTACCAGCAGAGGATCGGGGAAGGGAAGGTCCAAAAAGTTAACCAAAAAGTTAAGCCGTCACTTACTGGCCCACGTGAACTCAGAGTGTGTACAATTTACACACCCATTTCAGATGGCGAACTCGGTGCTGGCAAGAACTGAAAATGAACCCCGCACCCTGCTGGTCGCTGGGAAATCGGTACAGTCCTCTACTGGGCAAATCTGACAGCGCATTTACGAGTCCTAAAATGTCATGCCCTGAACCTGGTGACTTATGGAATTTTATTTTAAGGAAACAAGTCAAGGAGGTTAGAAATTACACTCACACATTTTCACCGGTTGCAGTTTGTAATACTGAAAGCCTGGAAGCCATCAAAAGGCTTAAGAATAGAGGAATATGGAAGGAAATTACAGTAAGATGATTGGATGAAATAATACACAGCCATTAAAACATCCAGAATGAACTACAGATACCCAGCAAGGGCAGAACACAAAGTACTGAATGAAAAATAGAGTATAAGATCATGTCTATGCCATAATGGCTGAATAAAAATATATTATACATATTACCTCTGAATAAGGACTGAGCCAATCCATGGAAGAATCCCTTGTTACTACAACTTCTAGGTGAATTTTGCCCGTTTTTATCTTAGAGTCTGTTTACACCGTTTGTGAGGTTTGATACACAGAAGTCTGACTCTGGGTGCAGAAAGCACTGGATGGGACAATCACTAACTTTCTGCCCAAACGGGTCCTCCCTTGTGTTCTGAGGTCATCTTTCAACCCACCGTCTGCTGGAGGACAGACTGGAACTCAGTAAGACACTGCGGCCGGAGGACTCACACAGGATGGCAGCGGTCTCTCTTCCAGCCTGGAAGGAGCTGCAGAGACGGGGCTGGGTCATGGAGTCTGCCCCAGACCACACGGCCAGTTAACAATGGAGCTGGCTTTCAAACCCTGGCCCATCCAATTCCACAAGCTCTTCCTGACCTCTCCTCCCCACTCCCAAGCCAGCCTGGGAGATGATGCGAGGGTCTGCCGGCAAGGAGGGTCAAGTCAGTGGGCACGGAGCCCATCAGCCCGTTTGGTCCTTGAGTTTTAGGCCTGCAAGCCTGGCTGTACGTTCAAATCACTCGGTGGGTTTTAAACTTTGCACTGCCTGGGCCTCCCCTGCAGACTGGTTTCACTGATCAAGGTGTAGCTAAGACAAGCGTACAGTGCCAGACACTCTGGGAACCCTTTCTGCAATGAGCCCTGAGAGCCACTGTCATCCTGTAAACCTTTCAGCTGTCCAGCAACTTGAGTTAAAATAACACTCACATTTCCCATTTTTTTATTGGAAAAAAATCGACTGGGTTAGCCACGTGAAGCACACAATTCAGTGGTACAAAGGACGTCCCTGTTATGGTGCAACCATCATCAATGTCTCATTCTAGCATGTGTTTGTCACTCCAAAGGGAAACCCAATAACCGGTCATTCTGCACTCCACCCTTGCCTCCAGTGCTTGGCAACCATTTATCTACTGTCTTTGAATTTGCCTATTCTGGACAAATCACACCAGATTCACACACTGTGTGGCCTTTTGTGACTGGTTTTCTTCATTTAGCCTTAGGTGTTTAAGATTCCTCCACATGGTAGGTATAGATTTCATTACTTTTAATGGCTGAGTAATATTCCATCATATGAACACAGAACAACTGTTATCCATTCATCAGTCAATGAGCATGTGGTCCATTTTCTTTTTCTTCCATTCATTCTTCCCTTAAATCTGAAGTTTCTTTTCAGAAAGACTTAAAGTTTTAGAAGTTAACAATGGGGCCTAGAGGAGAGTTGTGTTTCTCCAAGTGTGATGCCACTTCTAGTCTTGTTAGCAATGATGTTCTCCTGTCCAGACCCAGAGGTACTGAGTCAGAGATTACGGGGCTGGGGCCAGCACCCTGGGTTCTAAGGGCCCTCCAGGGATTCAGACGCAGGCTGCTTTCAGAAGCACCGATGTAGCTGATGTCAGTGTGGGTTCCACCACAAGGTGAATCAGCTGCCTCTCCCGAGGTCACAGCTGCCCACATGGCAGCAAAGCACTTCGGGCTCAGAGCGGCCTCCAGCCCCACGCTGCCACCTCCATGATTCCCGACATCAGTGCCACCTGTTGGGATCCAAGATGCTCAAGCCGCTGAGTTTGGCCGTTGGCTGAGACATGGTTGGCGCCACACCCTCGTGTCACCACAGCTCCCTGCAATAAAGAAAGGCATGTAAGAACATAAGACTCATCTGAGGGCTGGATCCAGGCAGTTACGCTGATGGCTCATTCGCTGGGAACACTGCTCCTTCGCACAGGCCAGGACTCCCGATCACTCTCCAACCCCGATGGCCACGGCTCAGCCACCCTGTGTCCCCTTCGAGCCGTCCCTCCTGCCTGTGATGCTCCCTCTCCTTACATCTCACCATCCCTCACACTCAGCACCACCTCACCTCCCAGCCCACAGCCATCGCGGCCACCCCAAGCCAGCAGTCTCTCCTCCCCCTTGTCCATGTACACCAAGGTACCCTGCTTAATCATCCCCTTTGGGGATCATGTTTATTGCATTGCTATTTTGTTCTTATTTTATAACAATGTAATTGCCAACACCTGTGATGTGGTGGAAGGTGGGGATGCTGAGTTAAACCACACCCGTGGCCACATTCACACACTGCAACACACATGGGCTTACAGGAAGGAACACGGTGTCAGCATCAGGGAGACTTCAGGGAGAGAGCTGGGCATGGTGGTACATGCCTGTAATCCCAGCATTTAGGGGGAGGTTGAGGCAGGAGGATCTCTGAAGCTCAAGGCCAGCCTGGGCTGCGGAGTGTGTTCAAGGCCAGCCTGAGCTGCATAGTAAAACCTTGACTCAAAAATACCAAAAAAAAAAAAGTGAGACTTCATGGAGGAGAAAAGCAAATTCTAGGCATGACCTGGGAAATAAACGGGTCATGCTCTGCAGGGAAGTGGTATTCGGGGGCTATGGAAACTAGTTAGTTGAGATGACAACTCCCAGGGAAGAACAAAGCCCAAGAGGATGTGGGAAGCCAGGGACTGAAGGGAACAGGACAGGGACTTAGGTAAGGGACCAGCTGCTTGGCTTTCCTCATGGCCCAGGTTATGCTGCTCTCTGAGTAAAAGCAAGCTGTCCGCAGTCTAAGGCATAAGGAATAAAGGAACTGAGGGGAACATGGGAAGGGGAGGCTGGTCACCCTCAGAACGCTGGACAGGAGACCATGAGCCCTCACAGAAGAGGTGATGACACTCCACCACCTGATCTGGATATACAAGAATAGCATGAGCCCGAAGGCTGGCTGGCTCCCCACCTGGTATCCACCAGGGACTGTTTCCAGGACCCCCAGGATATCAAAATCCAGGATGCTCAAGTCTCTTTCATACAATGACATGGCATTTGCATAAAACCCACGTGCATCTTTCTGTGTGTTTTCGATCATCTCTAGATCCCTTATGATCCCCAATACAATGTAAACTCATGCACCAAGTTCTCAAACTGTAGTATTTGGGGGACAAAGGGCAAAGGTCTATCCAGATACAGTACAGGTGTAATATTCCCCCAAGCATTTTCCTTGCACAATCGATTGAATTTATGGATGTGGAAGCCATAAATACAGAGGGCTGTGAGGGTAACCAACCATGCAAGGTCTACCAGGCAGAGGCAGCCTGTCATGGTTTATGTCTGTGGCCCCCAGACCTCATGAGTTTGCATTGTGCATTTGTGATTGGTTCATTGTCCAGTGCTTGGATTGATGGTGTCAGTGCTCCACCCACAAAGGGGCGGAGCCAGGGTGTGATGTAACGGCAGGAAGTAGGAGTGTCTTGCTCTTTGCTAGTTCCTGCTTGCTGTTTGCAGCCGCCATGAACTGTGACCCAGCCATGCCCGCCTGCCTTGGAGCCAACTGAGTGTGGACTGAAACCTCCAAAAACTGTAAGAAATAAATGTTTCCTTTCCCAACTTGGGCTTTAGGTATTTTGTCTCAGTGACAAGTAATAAGTAACTAAGATACAGCCCAATGCTGTCTGTGGCCCTTCTAGAACATTCTGTTGGGATGGAAGTGTTTCTTGTCAGAGAGCTTAGACAGTCCAACAATGAAACAGATTTGTGCTGAGTATTCTGTGAGAGCCAAGTATTTGCTTTTTTCTAAAGTAGCCAGAGCAGGACTCAACTGCCTTGACACTTTTGCAGTCTAGAATTACTGCCACCCTGATATATGGAGAAGTCCGGGTTTTCAGTCACCATTTGTCTGTGCCCTCCAGCCCACAGGTGTTGACTCTCTCAGGCAAATCTCTGCCCTGCACCCCTACCTGCCCGCCTCTTCTGAGCCACATTGTCACACAACTGACGCACTCTCCTACTCTACAAGCCATTGCTGTGTCCCATGATCAATCCCTTGAGGAACAAGGTGTGGAGAAAATAAATAAACGATGTCTCCCCGGCTAGTTCTCTTACGGCCCTGGTGGCACTGTGACTGTGGTGTCTGCTGCTTCATAGGCCCCAGAGGGTCCCAGGACACACTGACCAATGATAAAGTGAGGCAGAGGCCAGGGAACAGCAAATGCACAATGAATTCTCCTCCTGGGGCCAAAAATATAATTTCCTGGTCACCAGCTGCCTTTCTGCATTCCCAAGCGTGCGTGCACACACACACACACACACACACACACACACACACACACACACACGCAGAGCCTCCCTCACTCTCCTTGGGCCCAAAAGCAAGGCTCAGACTGTGGGGCTAAGCACCATGAGCACTGCCCTGTGCCTCTGCTGTGCCACCAGTCACTGTATGCTGCTGCTGTCATCCCACACGGTCCTCAAGCTGCTCCAGGGACGTGGAGCGGTCCTTGGAGAAAGCAGCTCAGCACAGCAAAGAAGACTCAGCCCTGGAGCCTCCTGACTACATTTAAATCCAGCCCTACTTCTTTGTGTCTCTCAGCCTTCTCATCTGTACAATGGTGTCTATTATTAGGATGAACACTGGACACTTACAACTTAAAGGAAGAGAGATTTATTTTGCCTGGTGGTCACAGGCCATGGTCGGGTAGCTCCAAGGTGGGAAGGACGCGGTAGGTGGGTCTGGGCAGAGGAAAGGTTTCTCATGTACAGCGGCCAAGAAGCAGAGAGGAGGAGGAGCCAAGGACAGAGATGTACCCTTCCAGGTCACCCCCCAGCGACCTGCCTCCTGTGACCAGGCCCCACCTCCAACGGCACACTCAACCACGATTAATCCACTGCTGAGCAGTGCCCCCATGAGCCCGTCACTTTCCCAACACAGGGAGCTTGGGGTCACGCCCCGGAACCTAAACCACAGCAAATGGGCTCCATGCAACACTAACCCTCCTTCTAGAGAGACAGGAGAGTATGCTACTGAAATGCACAGAGCTGAACAGTCTTGACTGAATCCAGCCCTTCACACACTTGTTATGAGCCCCGAGTGAGCCATTTGATCTCTGGGTCAGTTCTTCATCTGTGAACTGGAATGGTGGTAGCCATTACTTCAAAGGGGTACAAGGAACAAGGTAAAGTCACATGTATCAAGTAATTTAAATTATGCCTGGCACAGAATAAGCACCATATTGAATGTGAACTATTACGATGATGATGATGGTGATGATAATTATACATGCAAGGTGACTGACAATGAGTATGAGCTATTTTCTCCTCCCTGATTACAGAGTCAGACCTGTGGGCAGCACTCTAGGGAACCTGGGTCTCCTCCTGGGAGGGCCAGGGCAGGAGCTGTGTGACTACCTCTTTGCATGGAAAATCCAACACAAATCCTCCCAGCGCTCCATCCTTGCCAAGCAAGAAGGAAAGACAGGAAAAGAAAGATGGTGCAAACCATCCCAGGGGCACTAGGCGAGCTGCCAGTCCAAGACCAACAGAACCACATTCTTTGACTTCCAATCTAAGTGCTCCCCAAGATGAGCACTAAGGTCCAAGTGGAATCAACCACCCAGGAGCCTACTGATGGAGGACATGAGTCTTCTGTAAACTCACAGGAACAGCTAAAAATACTCCTTCCCTCCAGGAGGGGCTGGCTACCTGCTCCTCGCTACACCAGGCCTGCTCTCTGTTCTACTGTGTCTCAGTCTCCTATGACCACACCTCTGGGCACTGAAGAGTGGCTTGGAAAATTAGAAATGCGGCCAGAAATTGAGTCAGGAATATTTATTGAGAAGAATATCTAAAATACGGGGGAAAACTCTGAGAAGTACCAGCAGGTAGAACAAGAGAAGCCTAAGGCTTCAGGTCCAGAATAAGTATGACAGGGGGCTGGGGATTTAGCTCAGTGGCATAAGCACCTGCCTTGCAAGCAGGTAGTCATGAGTTCGATCCCTGGTACCAATAAAAAGGAAAAAGACAAAAAAAAAAAAAAAAAAAAAAAGAAAGTTAAATAAATAGCATGAGTTTCTGCTTCTTGAGTCCTAGCTCTATTTTAATTTTTCTGTCGTACTTATTCTTTTTTTTTTTTTTTGGTCTTTTTCCTTTTTATCGGTACCGGGGATCGAACTCATGACTACCTGCTTGCAAGGCAGGCACTTATGCCAGTGAGCTAAATCCCTAGCCCCTTAACTTTCATTTTTAAAATTAAAAAAATTTTAACTGTTATCAAAAACACCCCATAGAAGTTATACCTCTTAATGAAGTCCCATGCCACGTTCTATTTGTGGATGTACTGTGTAACATTTAAATCAGGTACAATATTTATCTCCTTAAGTGCTTATCAATTCTTTGTTACTTAGCCTTTATCAAACACTCACTGTACCACCTCACTATCAAAGAAAAGGTAGATATCAGTAATCCTGATCGATTCATGGATGAAGAAATGACAGTTTCAAGAGTTTGCAGTCTTAATACTGTGCCCAGGGTGAATCAGGAAAGACTAGAGAAGATTCAGGAAAAAAAAAAAAAAACCGTAAGAATAAAGAAGGAATCTGAAATTTGAGATGTTGTCAAGAATTGTAAGTCCTAGAGTTGTTAGCATAGGCGTAGGGACAGTGATGGGGGCTTTGAACTGACACCCAGGGCCCCTTTCCTACCACCCCAGAAAGTCTCTGGCTAAGGAAACCAATCCGGCTCTCCCTCCAGGAGGGTCTGCTCAGGTATTCAGCCAATGAACAGCACTGTCCTCCACACACCCCCACAATGATTGGCCCAGGCATGCAGTACAAGAACCAATTTGATTCAA